TTCCTCTTCAGCTCCCTCGCGCACCGCAATGATACCGGAGCAGGAAGATGACGTCATCTTCCGGCGCCGGCATCCCTACGCGGTGCGCGAGGGAGCTGAAGAGGAAGCACTGAGTGCTCCCTCGCGCGCCCGCCTGCCTGCCCGACCCGCCACCCGCCCAGGAGCCCAGCAGCACCACTGGACCCCAGGGAATAATCCCCCCCAGCACTCCAAAAGGTAAGGAGGCTGGGGGGGATTATATTAAAAAAAATCATGTGGGAGTGTCTGAGTGTATTGTATGTGTTTATTGGTTGTGTTCCAAAACCCTGTGGGTGTATATAAGAACAATAAACCCACAGCTATGGCTGTTCACTGCTTGACCCTCAACACAGAGCTTTGTCTCATTCTTGGGGGGGATTTATTGTATGCTGTTCAAGTTTGACTGCTAGGAGTGTAAACCTATTCGTATGGTTTTTCCTATTCGGCTGTTTACAGCATTCATATGGTTTCCTGTTCGGCGGATTGGTGTTCTGCAGTATCTGTGCCTGTGCATCTGGAAGGGGAAGATCTACTAAACGTTTTTTACCCCTTGTGTGCAAAACGGTCCGTTACAATCCCATACCTTTTTTTTTTTTAAATGTTTTGCGAGGATAAAGACGAGATTGATGGGTATCTACAAGACTTTTGAGAGGCTATGTGACTTGCATGATTTGGAGCAGGCAGTGTGGGTACCACTACTGGCAGGCAAACTGTCAGGTCAGGCAGCAGAAGTCCCAGGGGGGACAGCAAAGCTTATTCCAGGGTAAAACAGGCTAAACTAGAAAGATACGCCATTACCCCGGAGGCATACCGGCGCAAGTTTGGAGGATTGCGCAAACCAGAGAAAGATTCCCACGCAGAGTGGGCACACAAACTGGACCAAGCCTCCCAGGAGTGGATACAAGCCAGTCAAGCGACCACCATTGAGGAGTTACGGCAATTGCTGTTGTTGGAACAATTTTTCAATGGCCTGTCCCCAGAGGCCCAGGAATGGGTGAGAGATAGAAAACCCCTCACCCTAACAGAAGCTGCATGACTAGCGGACCAGCACTATGACGCCAGGAGGCATCGCAGTAACCTCAACCGAGGGTACCCTCGACCCAACGCTCAACCTCCTACAGCTACCCCTACTGCACCGACCAACCCCGGGGGGGGTGCACACTCCACCATCCAGAAATAATGGCAGGGCTAATATCCAGTGCCATACATGCAAGCAATGGGGCCACATGGCGAGAGAGTGTATCCAGAACCGGAGCCGTCAAGCTTGGAGCCGAACCCAGCACTAAGAGCAGCGGAGCCAGCAACCCAGGAGATATTATTTAATCAGACAGAAGAGCTCCTGGGAATACTACACGATGTGATGTCTGTACAAGCCACAGACAACAGGCAACACCATCGCCAGCTAGTAACCCTGGAAGGGAAAGAGGTCCAAGGGCTCCGGGATTCGGGGGCCACTCTGACTCTGGTAGCACCTCATTTGGTTCCGGGCTCAGCACACACCGGCGGATCCATAGCAGTGCAAGTAGCAGGGGGAGCGGTATACAGATTACCAACCGCAAAAGTACATTTGAATTGGGGTGTTGGGGAAGGGATGGTAGAGGTGGGCCTGATGCAAAAGCTGCCGGCAGATGTCGTATTGGGGAACGACCTGGGCCAAATGACTTCTGCTTTTATACCCCAAGCTCCACTCCAAGAGGCCCACCCAGTAACCACAAGGCAACAGGCTCGCACCACTGCTCCATCCGCGCACTCTGAGGCTCAAGAAAGAGACAGTGATACTCCTACGACACGTGTTACCTGGGATACCCCGACTGAATTTGAGGCAGAGGTTAAGATAGACCCTACGTTAAAAGTGTACAGGGATAGGGTGATCTCCGACCAAGCCAGATTAGAGGGGGAGCGGTATACCTAGGAAAAGGGGTTATTGTACCGTATTGCTGAAAGGGTAGTGAGAGGGTCTGTAAATGTGACTACTAGACAGCTAGTAGTACCCCAGAAATATCGACAGGAACTTCTTCGGATCACACGACATCCTCTTGTCTGGGCAGCTGGGGATGACTCGCACCCGATACCGCCTAACCCATGCATTTTTCTGGCCAGGTATATCCAAGGATTTGCGGCAGTACTGCCAGACATGCCACATCTGTCAGCGAGTAGGCAAGAGGGGTGATCGCCACTGTTACGGTACCTCCAGTAATAAATGTACAAACCGCCGTTTAGTGAATGCTCCCCATTCGCAATAATGTGGTCTGGTAGTGTATGCAGTATAACCGTGCGAACCGCCAGCCAGGGAACACTCCAAACTCCCGAACGGTACCCGTACGGCTCCTTCCCTTCACGAGCCCCAAGTTCACGAACTGACAATATCAGCCGAACGCCAATATCTTCCAAGCGGCAAATAGTTCCAAAGAGCAGTCTCTAGTCGCGGTAATAAAATCCCCCCAATAACGAGACCAAGCTCCGTTTTGAGGGTAAAACACTAACTGAGTTTACTTTGGGCTACCTGCCCGTATTTATGCAGGTCTCCCACTTGGTGGACACTCCCCTAGGGGACCAAATGGGAGACTGGAATAGCAGATGGACATGGGGACATTTCAGACATACAATCCCACAATATTCCCAGCATACATCACAGTTTCCTCCCCTCTGCTCGGGAGATAATTGAGAAGTAATTAAATTATCTCCCAGAGCAGAGGCAAATCGCCATTTTAAATACAAGTCACAAAACACATAAAAATACATAACTTTATAACTGCCGAACATATTACATTCGTGTAACACATCCCCAGATAGCCTGGATCTGAGTGCATATTATTGGCGAATAGCGCTCAGATCCCATACGCACAGCTCAATTGCCATGGAGTCAAAGTCTATTACAGTTATTTGGTATGTGATTGACTCCATGGGAAGGCTATCTGGGTTAAGTCCATTCGTGCCTTTAAATCTCCCGAACAGCCGGGGTTCGCACACGTCTGTCGATTGAGAAGGGAGGTCGACGGCTTCAGCGGTGTTCGGTTGAAAAAGTGTCCGTTTTCAGTTCCATGAAATAACCGTCGAACACCGCT